AAAGTGAAAGTAGCCTTGTCACCTGACCTGAATACAGCGCGCTGATTCCCTAAAATGGACTTATCGGCTTCGGTTCAAAAACAAGGGTGCTTGTCGTCTTCTGCAGTAAAACGTGAACTCGCGATGCCTTGAAAGTGGACAAAACCGGCTTTTTTGACAAAACGTGTTTAGGGTTCAGATCGCGCTATATGTGGAGAATAATGCACGGCATTATTATTTTTTTAAAAAGTGGCATTTATCGGTTTTTGCAAATGAACTCTTCATATATAGTTAGAGCACCCTCATTAATTTAAGAAGCACCCTCAGTGATTTGATTCTGGAGCCGGGCCTGGCTCCTGGACCTGCACTCATTGCGTATCCTGCCTCTTGATTCAGCTTTTACTGTTTCATTTCTGTTTATTTGAGCGCTGACTCTCGTGTTGTCTCATAAGAGCTTTGGCTGAAACCCCAGAGTCACTGTCAGTCCTTCCCACCCCTCTGCTTCTTAATTATTCTCATTCATTAAGGTGGGCTTTTTGACTAAATAACAATATCCACACACTGATTTGTCAATTTGCATAGCTAATTAAATCATTAGCTGAAATGTTACCAATTAGAGAAAAATTAATGCCGCTTGCCAACGAGCCTTGAATTTGCCATCTGTTTTTGAAAGGCAACTGTCGCCCTGCAGTCTGGGTGTTAAACCGGGGGCCAGGATCACAAACGTTAGCACACAGACATACTCAAGCAACCTACAGGTTTCCAGCTGATGGTCTGATGGAGAGCTCTAATTGCTATCAAATGGAAAGGCTGTCCTGTGCTCTTGTCTAATTAGATGTAGCCTGTGGCTAAACCCACACTGAGCCGCCCACAGCAAAACAAACCGACTACCTGCCGCCCTCAATGACTGATCCGAGAATGGCTCTGCATCCACCTCGATCTGAGCTTGCGGAGCACAGAAAGCCCTCATTTGAACTGAACATTATTTAAGACTAGAGAAAATTTCTATGCATGTGCAAATCCAGGCACGTTACACATGGATGACTGACCAACTTGTTATTATACTACTGAAATCCTCATCAGCCCAAAAAGATGACCACAAGGGGGCACTGCTGTAATACTGTTGAATACAAGAAACCCCCCACCCCCCCCCCAAAGCAGGCAGACACACACACACACACACACACAGATCAAAAGTATGAATAAAACAAAAATAGCACACATCCACACTCATACATGCCACAATGCATGCACACAGAGGAAGAAAAAAATACTTTTCCAACATATGCAAACACATATGGGCGATTACATAGGGAAAGATAAAGACATGCATCATGCTTTTTCTATTTTTTTTTATAGAGAATCAAACAGCATTCAAACATCTCCCAAGACATGCACTAGTAAGAGAGAACCTCTGATTTTATTTGCATAAATGCTCAACAGTGCACACTGCAGTCTTTGCAGCCAGCCATGCATGCATACTTATATCATTAATGTCTGTTTACTTTCAATAAATAGCACTAACACTATCATTAACATGTGTTTTCTAATTCCTTTTTTGAGGATAAATCCTTAAAAAACTGCTTTTAAAGGAGACACTAAACAATTTTGATTAGGTTTTAGCAAATATAACATTTTTTAATCAAACAAATTGCCTATTTAGAGTGACTACTGAAATATCCACCTGTAATATCTCTCTTTTGATGCTGAGCATTTATAATTCACACAGACAGAAAATGTATTTCATGGGTTTCAATTTAGAGACAGAATCTAGCTTCCCTATTAGAAGATGATTCAGAAGATGAGACAAGTACCTTTTTTGTGATTTGAGGGGAAAATTTCCGTTTTGAAGTTCTGTGGATGTCCAGCTGAAATCATATCCAAAGCAAGATTTATTTCTCAGATAATACTTAAGACAAATGAAGTTGTTATGCATATCAAAACCAGAAGACATATGCAAATGTAAACGGCAAGACTGCAGTTTTCAAATTTCATTGCAAAATCAGTGGCTCATTCGCTAGTCATACAAACACACATATTTCTGCACAATCCCTGATTGTGAACATTTCATGCAGAAATCTCTATCAGGAATTAGTTAATTTTTGCTTTATACACTACTGATCAAAAGTTTGGGGTCAGCGTGACTCTTAAACATGACTAATGAAAGGTAATGAAAGGTGATAATTTATAAACCGGTATAGATATACATTGATAAAAAGGTGATAAACAGACTGTACAAGGACATCTGTTTTGATTTTCTGGAGAAGAACCTTTATTTTTGTATGTTTATCAGTGCGAGTGTGCGAATGACTTACTAAAACGCCCTCGTTTCCACAGATACACATATACACGTGAAACAAGGGGCAAAAAAACGTATCAGCAAATAAAGACAACCTTCTTTCCTTCCTGTTCCTGAACACAAATGCTCTCCAGATTTCAAAAGAATGGGAGGAAAGAGGGAAGTGAAGCTAATAAGGAAACAACAATTACAGAAGATCCACTTCGATACGGATTGTGAGAAGGCCAGTGCTGACGAGAGGATGGGGTTCATACAGGGTTTCACCCACAGGGAGCAGATGGAGGATGTGTTTCAGTCTCATACATGTCATGTTGTTACTGTTTAAATCATATTGTATATGTAAACCCATCATGTGATCTAAAGACAAGTTTAAACCATTAATGTTGATTGATTGATTTGACACCCTGAGGAACATACAGAGACATCAAAAGCTGGAGATATCCACTGTCTAATCCCTACTGACGGAATCTACCAAATGTGGTGTATTTAAGAGATTTTAGAAAGAATATGTGAAAAAAGAGTACATCTATTCTAAAAATTCACAAACTGACCTGTAACCGTCCTGTTTTTCAACAGCAATTGGCAACAGTTGAAACATATTTATCTAAAATACTTGAATGTATGTTATTTATGAATCCAGCAGATAAGGTAACAGAATATAGTGTAATCCTTGAAGTGTAATTGCACCTTAAAGGGGTCATATGATGTTGCTAAAAAGAACATTATTTTGTGTATTTGGTGTAATGAAATGTGTTTATGCGGTTTTAAGTTCAAAAACACATTATATTCCACATACTGTACATTATTGTTTCTCCTCTATGCCCCGCCTTTTTGAAACGCGTCGATTTTTACAAAGCTCATCAGTCTGAAAAAGCGAGGTGTGCTGTGACTGGCCAGCTATCCAATGCGTTGTGATTGGCCGAATACCTCAAGCGTGAGACGGAAATGTTACGCCCCTCATTTCCCTCATACGCCCGATATTTGGGTTAAACTGTTCTGGAACAGTGTTGTAAATACAACTTAACCACTGATTTGTAGTCGTGTCCTCTTTTGGAAGGCCAAACAAAATAATTTCGCTGTCATAACGAAAAACACAGTGGCCTAGCGTGAGGGGAAGCCCCGGCTTAGCGTGCGAGATCAGCACAGATCAGCTCTAGGCATGACGAAGCGGATATTGTCCTCTTTTGGAAGGCCAAACAAAGTAGTTTCGCTTTCACAACGAAGCACACAGCGCCTTCACGACATGGCTGCAGCGTCAACAATACTACAGTGAGAATAAAAGTTACGCCTTCTTTCTTTGCGTGAACATTTGGGCGGCGTTATGCAAATCTTCCCACATAGTGAGGTAGATATGTGGGGGCGTGTTAGAACGAGCCATTTTAGGTAGGTGTGGCTGACTCTGAACTTTTATAAAGAATATCTCTTTGGATTTGAGACTTTAGTCTTTGCAACTTTACAGATCTTCTTTATGCACCAAGAGCTTGTAACACTCCAAAGAGAAAGGAAAACTTGAAATCGCATCATATGATCCCTTTAATATTTTTATGTATAAAAACCCATTTATACAGAAATATTACAAATAAATATTTTATAAATGTGTAAAGTTGACACTGCTCTTTTTTGATGTATCTTATCTCTCAAAAGACTAAAAAATTCAGAATTTATAATAAATTAATTTATTATTTAAGAAATAAATTAATAAATTGTTTTTCTCTGCTTAACAAAATATATATATATATATATATATATATATATATATATATATATATATATATATATATATATATATATATA